CAAGCAAGTAGAGAAAGTAGAGGAGGGTGGGGGCGGGTAGAGTGACTGAGACTGCGAGCTTTGGGGGAAACCGGCGAACGTTTTCGAGTTCATTGGCATACTCCTTCTTTATTTCTAGCTGTTGCCAAAACAGAAGCAAAGCAAATCAGACAATTATTCTTGTTTATGGCAGTAGCGGTTTGTTATTTTTTAAAAGTTTGTGAAAGAGACTGACCTAATCTTGGTGATTATTTGAGTTCTTGAACTTTGTATTTTTGTGAGAAGTTTGGATTGCTACTGTTCATGTTGCTGCTCTTGTTGTTGTTGCTGTTGTCGTTGTTATTGTTGTTATTATTGTTTTTATCGTTGTTGTTTCATTGTTACCGTTGTTATTGTTCCCGTTTTTAAAAAAAAACTTTTTTAGGGGGCTCAACACCTTTTACGTCTATTCAAAACACATTTCTGAGTGAATTATACTGAAACGCGTTGATCAAAGGCAAAAATTTTTTTTTTTAAATGAACAAATTAGGATTTGTGGTTTTAAAGGACACGCTAGCTTTGGCAATCACCAAACTTTGGGGATTATTTTCTCGACAATTTTACATCTGATAATCTGACACCAAGTGATCTCCACCTCCTTTAAACATAGATATATCTCGGCTTCTATTCATGATATTATGTATTTTTATCATAAACAGCAAGACAAATAAACAAATTTTAAGATGATTCCAGTAATTCCAAATCCCCCAAAACTGACGAGCACCTGAATCCAAAGCGTTGATGTGATCTCGGAATCTCAACCATAAGGATGTTGGTTTGAATCCTGACTGGGGTCCAACATTGTGTCCCTGGGAAAGATTTACACAAATTTTCCTCACTTCACCCAGGTGGGAATGAGTACCCGAAAGCGAAAGGTTGTGTCAGTTTGTTAGTGTCTGAGCGTGGGTAATTCGCAGTTTGCACTGTATGCTTCTCGGGAAGCCAAGAATGTTTCTGAGAGTTCTAGGGTCTGCTGAGGTAATAATACATGTTAAACACATGGAGCACAGTGTACCGCATGGATGCACTAATTATGCATAAATAATTAATATTGCTATCATTATCACCTTTTATTATTATTTTTATTATT